GCATAATATAGCATTATGTATCAATACAGTATTACTGCGCTGATTTCCCCTCCACTAGTACATATAATTATTAAACCAATAAACCAATTTGCTTTGCACAAAAATTTTGTCGATTTCATTTAACCATAGAAACATATACATATGTTTGTTATGGCTGTTCTAGCGATCTGTGAAACATCAACTTCAGAAGTGAAAACGAAACACAGGTCATGCTGCTTTATAAGGTACAATCGAACCGAACAAATAACAGCAACGTACCTAACAACTTTTTCCATATTCTGATTAAATTTCTGGCTTCCGACTGAATCGCCTTGTTGGTGGTCTTCTTCCTCAACTCGTTTACGGTCATCCCCACTCTCGTCCGCTGAATATACAAAATCTTTACAACGCAAGCATCATACTGCAGCCTGTGTAGCAGTACATTGTAATCAATTACTTACAAATAATCATAAATTCACAGTACACTACAGAACCACTCGTAACTCGATCATAAGGTTGAAACAAGCTAGTCAAGATATTCTAGCTATGGTGGACGATATTCAAATACAATAAATTAGCATAAAATAAGGCTATAATTTTTTTACGTTTTCATTCTGGACTCATTACTGGAACAGCATATCGAGAGAAAAATCGATTTATGAGCTTTCATTTCAGTCATCCCATGTCATCGGTGGCATCATCAAAACAAATTCAAACCGAATTTGAATCGAGTTCTGGTTCTGGTCAGTGCATCACTGATTTTGACTATGCCATGATATCATCATCATGCCATCAAACAATTTCTATTACCAATATACTGCTAAGCAATTCGATAACCAGCCTCCAACTATGGGAATAGTGATCAACACAGACAAAACTAAGATGTTCTCCAAAGGGATCCTGGAACAAGAGAAAAAACTCATTCTCCTGTGTGTCACCCCTCTAAACGAAAGCACTTATTTCCCCATCCTTCACAATGGCCATTCGTGTAAGTACATCATCAACCGTAAAAACAACTTTAAATTCGAGTTGCGCAACACTACTAATGTCAAAGATAAGAACTGGGATAAGAAGCATTACTTCATACTCCATTATCATAATAATTTGGTGAAAATTTACAAAGGCTAAAAAATGCCGAATGTAATATTACCGTAATTTAAAAAAGTTCTAGCGAACCTACCACCTGCCTACCTATCATATTTACTATGTAACTACGCACAGAAATAGCCAGAAGAGACATGGAACACTGTCATTCAAAGAACAAAGACCGACCTGTCAAGTCACAGCACATGAATGATCGCTAACGAACGGCAGTGGCATGGTCAAACGAGGCATGCCAAAAACAAAACAAAAATTGACCCGTACACAACTAAATTGGATGTGAAAAGTGCAAAATCATGCCTCATACGACATCACGACAATTCCTCCTACGGTCAGAGTCATCGACATCGTCGATGAAAGAAATCAGCAGAACAACATAGTCAAAGAAGCGCTAATCTACCAATTCGGAGACAAAGGATAATAGTTCGGCGCCGACTGGATGAACTTCGTAACGCCTACTGAAAGATGACGAAAAGAGCAGGAGTAGCATGAACTTTGAGCTCTCAATGGGGCACAAAACAAATCAGTTACTGCATACGTTTTCTACAATCAAGTACCATTAGCTTCAACCGAAGGAAGGCCAGCTATGTATAAACCAAAGCTGTGGCAGCGCTTTTATCACCCACTATACCGACCGCTTTGTGTTCTGTATGACCAAACTGTTCTAACTGAGCTTCTAAAGACGATTGATATTAGCATACTGTAAATTTCGTACAGCAGAGCACAGTCAAAGCAAGCACCGTTTAAAGTCATCGTTGACTTTACAGTAAACATAACATATGCTTATTGGAAACATCGACTCTGGTCCAAAAAATAATATCACTAGGCATAGCTTTACCTGCAGAATCTCCAGTGTCATCTGAACACACCGCAATGACTTGAGAATGTCCAACGCATCTTGTTCCTGAATAATTGCCAAACGTCATTTTACCAGCTAACAAGCGAAACAACGCTTACCGATTTGTTACCGCTGATGATTCTGTCCAGTTTTCTGGCAAACCGCAAAACTTCTTCTTCCACACCGTTTTCTGGCATTGAACACAAATTACCAGCGACCGGGCCTTGAGATGACCTAACAACCGAGTGAATGAAGTTGGAATTTCGAACCATGCGAAAAACAGTAGCCGGTTATTTGCACACTGTTTCGCAATCATCGCATATCTATATATACGCTGAAGCGAAGGAAATAAATTTCATTTTTCTCGCTAGTGTTGCAGCATGATTAACTCCAAGGGCGGAAAATTCATGAATCCCTAAATTCAGCTTCAACGGTCTTCAAGGTTTATGATCACGCACTCTGGCCATTCCTCCTCGTCCCGCTTATACCACAACCAGCTCAACTTATGGGTATCACGTTCATCATTTGAAGGCCATGGTTTAATACAACGTATAAGCTGTAATCATCACAACCAGGCTGACGAGTGCATCGTAGTGGGAGATGTCGAGAAAAAAAACTGCTCTATGCAGACGACCTTGTTTTGTTTGCATCTTCTGAAACTGATTTAAGGCGCTCTTTGGAAATGTTCGCAGCCGAGTCCGAGGTGGATGGCATGCATGTTAACGCACCTAAGACAAAAAGCCGTATTTTCTCGTTCTCTTGCCCATTCAGATAAACGGAGAAGCAGTGGAGCAGGTGGAGAAATTCAAATACTTTGGATCGTGTTTACTGGTAATGGAAAATTTGCAGGAGATCGACCGGCGGATTGGAATGCAAGGGAGTACTGTACGAACTAACTCGTCTGAAGATTAGCTGCTTGTGTTAAGTCGATCTTCATCCGCATGTTCACACATGGCTAGGGCTGAAAAGCTTCGATCTCGGGTACAAGCGATTGAAACAGAATTTTAGACACCAATCACTGGGTTCACGCATGTCGACGTGGTTTGGAGTGCAGATAGCCCAGACAGTCTTGGCGTATAATCGCTTAACTCCAGACTGAGAAATCAAAAAGACACGTCTTTTAAACGCTTTATGAAAGTAAGATAGAACAGTTACTATTTGTTCAACCGACCGATCGAAGATCCTTAAAAGGTCGGGAATGACTTGGGGCCAAGTGTCCCTAACGGACTCTGCTCTAGACCCGGGTTATCTTCTGCTAAAAAATAAAGATTTCTTAAGATCAAACGCTGACAGATTTACTGACAAATTGTAATACTCACGGATTTATCAGATTTAGTTATGTGACGAACGTATCAGGTTTGAGTTATAAGGCTGGAATATGCTGATAGATGTTTATTTCTTTCACATAAGCATTTCACGGCATACTGCACGATCACATTGCTACTAGTTACTCGCAGATATCAAATACACTTCCAGAGTGTTTGAGCTCTACTGGTGGGCAGAAGAGATCAAGATCACAATGACAATACAACATAGCTCGCACAAGACCAGAAAAAATGAAGTATATCGTCGTGCTGTCTACTCAACGAAAGTGGAACGGCGCTGAATTACTTTCGTGAGATAATACAAAAAGGGCCAAAATGAAAGATTCAGGGAACACTGGGCGAAGCAAATCAGGAAATGGGCCAAGGAAAGAATCGCAATTACAAACGGCAAACATAAGCGTGGAGAAACAGTATAAATGAGAACATCGCAAGGTGGAAGCTGAATGAGTGGAACTGATGCAAACTTACTACCAGGACGGAATATCACTCAACTGTATTCCTAATAAGGAACAACAGAAAACTCAAAAGTGGTTGACTGAATAGAGAAATCAGGCAAATTCCTTAACTACAGGTGTGACATGACTGGCAAATAAGAGTCGTGAATGTGAAGTGATCATTAATATTCTAAATAAAACGCAAACTGTATACATTGCAGATATATGACGACGCTGACCTACTGTCGCGAAGTAGTACTTCTCTCCTGTACTTGAAAATTTTTGCGGCTGAATTCGCAACACCAAAAACTGGACTATTCACCAACACAAATAACACACATACGAGTCATTATATTTTACAGTATGTAATGACATAGTTAACGTGTGTTTTAAAACATTTTTGTCAAAAATATCCCCCTAAAAATGGATCTAGCTTGATCCGGAATTATCTTAGTTTCATTCAAACTGGAATGGACAGTATGTAGCCGCATTTCAGCGGTTCCAGCATTTGGGCAAGATACAATTATATACAGCGAGCAAAAGTAAGCAAAAATACTTTAAAACAACGTTGTATGTAACCTGTCGTTTAACTCTTGAGAATCTTCAAAATCCGGAGCAGGAAAAACAGTCTGAGCTTAAGATGGTTTAAGTATGAGCTACACTGGACTCACACCTGTACTCAAACCCCTAACCTCGAGTTTGCTTTTGAACTGGCCCTCATATCGTGCAAGTGGTGAGATGGATAGGCTAGGATGTTGTGAAAGTGTCAGTTTGAGAGCAAATATCGTTGACCAGAACTACCGTGACGATCCGCTGATATGGTGGGACAGCTGCCTTAGCAAATAGTCTTAAGCTGTACCGAAATACCCTAAAACCATCAACCGACAGAAAGTATGCCAGCTGTGTACGTCATTGCGGGTGCAAAAAAATGAATGACCGCCAACACTGCAGGCGGCCAGCTCAGTGTTCTCAGCTGTCGTAATCTACGAACGTAGAAGGATGTGGTTCTCAACTCGGCGACTGTCAGCTGAATATGATCGTATCAAAAAATCAGGTGATTTTTATGGTGCACTTCCAGATTAATGAAGGTACATTTCTTGGTCCAGATAGTTTGACCAACATCGCAAAATCAGTTCAAACAACATTTGCAGGATCGGAGCAGGGGGAGCGTATTTTGAGATGCGGAAAATTACTCAGAACAATTCCTCACATTCAGCCAAAGTTCATTCTCTATCTTCTCCAAATATCCGAAAGAGTTCAGACAGTTCTTTCAGCACAGACACCGCCACAATCAATGAAATGTTATCAGCGCATTTGAGGCACAAACTGAGACAGCTGACATGACTAGACATGCTGTTGTGTAGGTAAAATAAAAACAAGAAGCGAGAGAACAGATCCAGATGAAACTTACATGTGCAGCAAACCCATTAAAGACATTCATGGTAAAGAACTAGATCCTTATGCATGTCTAGGATTGTTAAATTTAGACTGGGGTTCCGCCCAGTCATTTCTAGCCCAATACACAACAAATAAAATACGCCCTGATAATTAACCAGTCAGAAAATGAATGTAAATGAACACTGTCGCTCTTTCAGGAAAGAAAACCGGCAAAAGCAAAACCGTGATCAAACCACAAGGTACCGCGCCATGAAAAGCCGTCCCTCGATCGTCAAGCACAAAAAGGTACTGATTGAATTAGATTATCAGTTAGTAGAGAGTATTTAACAATGCTATATCTACTTCTGCTTTTAGCAAAGCACTTATACAACAATTATTAATAAAAATTAAGTGATTCCTGTACGAAAGCATTCGCCATCCACGGCTCATTTTGTCAGTTTGAAACTAGACGTTTATGTCTAAGAATACATGGGGTCTAGTTTTCAAGCAGTACTGGAGATTTAGTTCATATCCAGTTGCTGTCATATATCTTCAAACAGTTTTTTTACAAGCCTGAGCAATACACCGATAGGACACATGACCAGATTAGTACCAAACCTTATAGATCAAACTTCTTTACTTTAAGTACTGCACTGATCTGAAAAAGTAACATATCACAAGGCTGCTAAGCTGTTATGCACAGCAGACGAATATGAATCACAAGTTTAACCAACTATATATATAGTTTCCTATCATCATCACAAAATGCACACGAAGCAGTAAATCGGGCAAAATTCAATCGAAAAAATCCTTCAAGATTAAGTAAATACATGAAGATTCTGAAATTTTGAAATTCAATTAACTAAGATTTACCTGCATCGGTAGGTAAAACAAAAAAACCCTTTTTGGATCTACAGAATGGTATAAAATTAACATTTTATTTATTTCCTACCGATTATAACTTAAACTAGTTTGCAGCGCGAAAATTTTGAAACTTTACAGAGAGCTGGTTATTCTTGTAAAAGTGATGAACGTCAAAATTAGATTGACTGTTTGAGGTTAATTAGCAGGATATAGCTGATTTAAAACAGAAACACCTTCACCTGTTGCAAAGAAGTCTGCACAGGCTAGTTATTAAAAGACACCCGCGGTGCAATACAGAATCATTAATAGGTAGGCTTTATCAAATTTAGTTGAGATTTCGGATACATATATAAGATTGGCTTATGCAACCTAGAATAGTGCGATAATTTAAGGGTTAAATTGGGAGAGTCATAATTTTACTCATAAAATAATAAAATTTCACTCTAAAAGTTCCAGTAGTATTTTGCAATTAACGTATTAAAGAAAATTTTCAGGGGAGTCAAAGCACTTTCATATTCAGTTTCATATCAATTTCTTAATAAGTTTCATATTAAAACTTATCAGAAATGACAGAAATCAGCATTAAATTTTGTGCTGATTACTACACTACATTTTCCGCTACCAGCTTAGTCAAGTCAAAATGCAGCCACAAGTGGCGCCATCATTTGACAAAGTGGCAGTGCAGCTCGTCCATTCTGAAAGACCAGACCTGAATGCCATGCTGTCTCAATTATTAATGAAGTGACGAATTGTTTCTCAGCTAATTAAGCCAAAGAAACATGCGAAAAATTTATTACTCAATGAAATTTTGGTTTAAGACAAGGATGCACCCGCCGTCGATATGAATGAAGCGTGGCACCGTCAGAGTTCGAAGCCGATAACTTGAGCAATAAGACTCCACTCCATCATCTCAGATTATTTAGCTTGCACAACAAATTGTACTATCAACGTAAACAAATATTTACCAGATATTGTTGCAGA